CCTCTCAGCCTTCACATCGTCCTCCTCGTTTTAGTCACCTGGAACCCAGTTTTCTCTCTCGCAGAATTAAGAACCGTCTTCAGAAGGCAACACACAAAACCATTTTCAAACTGACTTTAATCTTTTTTTTTTTTTTTTTTTTTTTTTTTGCTGCCCAAATATTGTACATGCAGAAGCCATGTGAAGAATTTTCTCCTCAAGGGAATTGGCAAGAATGTTGGACGAAACAGCCGGCAGTCCTCCCAGCCGTCCACCTGCCACCTAGGAGCCACAGCAAGTTTGGGAAGATGCTGCACATAGAAAATGTATAGAGCGCAGATATAAAAGGCTAATTGCTTCTTATCTAAACAGTGTGCTTGTCAGTCCCTATCAGCTATCTCTTTCTTTGCAGGATGCATTTGGAAATTCTAAAAAAGGGGTTCCTGCCTCCTGTGAATTTACATTCTAAAGGAGTGGATGGAATAATCAGGCCAACTTTTCCTAAGGAAGCAGCCACTCTGCCTGCGGAGATGATGTCTGGTGAGAGATTCTGGAGAGAGGAACGGTTTTAAGAAGCAAAATACTTTGACAGGAAGTAAGTGCCCTCTCCCCTCCCATCAGAGACCATTGCCTTCAACGTCCTCAGGTGTTCAACTCTCCCACGGATGTCATTCTAGAAGCAGAAATGAGGACTGACCCGGTCTCATCTGCTGGTGGGGATACTGACCTACGCAGGGTGCAGCTGAGGTTGTGACATCACATCAGCACCGTGAAAATTGTCCATTGTAGACAACCCTTAATTATTTCTCATCATTATGCAAGAAGAAAAGAGGGAGAACAAACCACAAAGAGGGGGAAGCAGAGTCTGTTAGGATTCCCAGAGTTCTTGTCAGAAGCAGCATCTGGGCATGGACGGATGAGGACCTGCACCCAGTTGGGGCACGAGGGGCTGGAAGGTTCCGGCCCGTGGAACCAGGTGCACCAGGCTCAAAACCCTCCTCAGCTCCAGATCAGACTTTTAAAACCTGGAAGGAACCATGGAGCAACTAGCAAATGCTCTGATTTTGCGGATGAGGAAGCCGAGGCCCGGAAAAGAGAGGAGTCTTGCACAAGGTCACAGTTTTGGACAAAACTGTATATAACAGCCTTCCATTCCCTGTAACCAGCCGTCCAGGCCATTGACCCGTGGGGCGGATGCTCTGTTGCCCATGGATTCCCAGGGCCCATTTCTGTTAGCCAAACTCTCTGGGCCCCAGTCTCGCGGACCCTTCCTGACAACGGGGTGGACTCCTTGGGGTGGGG